CTGGGAGATGTTTGGGTCCCTTCAAGTTGTTTTAATGGCTGGTTTGGAAAACCAGGGGGGCTGGGGCTGTGTATCTTCGAGGCCCCTCCAAGGTGGTCCAGCCAGTAGAGACGGGCGGGAAGTGAGTCAGGTTAGGTCTGGCTGGATTCTGGATTGGATGGCAGAGAGATGGAGGGATTTCCTTTTCCCACCTGGTGCCGTTCTCACCCCTTGTCTGGGGGTACCCTCCACTCTGAGATTATTGCAGGTGCCCCCAGCCCCCAGCCCTTCCACCCGGCCTGGGCCTGCCCTTACAGCTGTTGTGCATAGAAGAAAGGCCAGGCTTGTGAGGACAGGGCAGCTCCCTCCTCGTCATGAGGGAAGGTGAAGAGGCCCAGCACGAGGGGCACCCACTCAGTTTCCTGGGGAGTTTTCTGCTGAGCCCAGACCTCCTCTCCACCCCCACAAGGTCCTACTCCAGAGTTCTGCCCTTGCCTCCCCCTGCAGGTGTGTCCCAGACCTCCCCCAACCAGGGTCCCGGAGGCCTCTCTGAGAGGGAAGGGGGCCCAGGCCACCACTGCTGCCCACGTGGCTTGGCGCTCAGTCCCTTGCTCTGAAGCATCACAAGGCGCTCCAGTACCAACACTGCCCCCGTCGGGCCAACCTCCAGCTCAATCCGGGAGGGAGACAGGTGCCAAAAGGTGGCAGGGCCGGCACAAGAGGGGGCAGGTGGGTCCTGACTGTCATCCTCATCCTGCTCCTGAACTCTCCCCTATCCAGCGCAGGTTCCTAACTAGGGGCTCCCAAGCTGGAGAAGACTCCAGCCTCTAAACTGCACCCCCAGGCACCGGAGGGGCTGTAGCCCTTGTTAGATGATGGCTCCCAAGTCAGGGGTCCTGTGGACTTCCAGACTCCCTCTGCTTTTTGCTGAGACCAGTGGAGTCAGCTCTCTGACAAGGGTTGAGGGGGTTGGCAGGCTGGAGGGCTGGGTTAGGGTTGGATTAGCAAAGTCTCAGAGGGATCAGAACCTCTGCTCTGACTTTCCAGCGGGGTGGCCAGACTCTGCGAGGCTCCCAGGACCTTCTCAACATTATGAAAAGAGGTCTCAAGTCAGTAGCCTTTGGGCCAACTGTGAGTGTTAAGTTGGGCCCCCACAGTGTCAAGAATTCGAATTTTAGCACCCCTAGGCTGGGCGTGCACTCTTCTGTTTGCCAGAATCCCCACCACTCCCTCTTGTCCAGCACTTCCTGCTCCTCTCATTCTTCATAACCTGGAGGTATTGGAGTTTGCAAACCATGTGCTCTACCCCCCAAATCTCTCTACTCTCTGAGGCTTCTGCAGACTCTAGGCCCAAGTGAGTTCCAAGGGAATGTCCTGGGGATTAGTCCTCAGGAGGGCACTGGGGCTGCAAGGCAAGGCCTTCCCTGGGGTTCCCAGCCCCTGTTCCTCGCATGGAAACTTGGCCTCCCCCTCTCTGTCCTCTGCCTTCCCAGCTCTCGTGAGTGACATGACTCTGTAGGACATGGTGTAGCAGGGAGCTGGCTAAGAGTGTGAGAGACACAAGGATGAGGCAGATGAGAGGAGGTGGCCCAGGCCTTCTTTGTTGGGGAGCCCCCTGCTGGGGAGGGGCGACAGCTACAAGGCACATGGTACGTCAGTGTGTGGAGGTGCATGAGGGGTTCTTGGATTCAGGAAAGGCCTGGGAGTGGCTAGAAGCCTGGGGGTCAGTGACTGCGGGGGCTCTAGAATAGTGGGGAGACCAAAGTCTGCCCTGGGGAGGGTGACGCTGGCCTCCTGGGGTTAGAGATACTGAGGACAGGGCAGGGCCTGCCTGTACTTTGGTACCCAGTGTCTTCAGCTGTCCCTGGGAAGATTAAGACGGACCCGACCACCTCTCCTGCGGCTCATCTGCTGACTTCCTGTGTGATCTTGGGCAAGCTCCTGGGCCCTCTCTGGGTCTGTTTCTCCCGAATAATGGATGTGGAAGGCAGGTGGCTTAGGAGACTCCGTGGGTCTTTCTGGGCTGTGATTCTGAAAACGTCTCTCACTGAAAGGGCCCTGTAGAGATTCTGGAAAGGACGAAGCATCTAGGCTGGGTATGGGGAGCAGGAGGACCTGGGGGGGCCCAGTTCTGGCAGGGAAGAGTCTGGCTGAGGTAGATTGTGTCACAGAAAGGAAAACGAAACAACAGGTCTACGGGGACAGGGTCCCTGACTCCGACTCGGTTATCCCAGTGGAACAAGGGGACGAGCAGGGACAATGGGAAGTTATGAAGACAGGCTAGAGGAAAGGGAGACCTTGGGTCTGGAAAGGATGGGGTCCTGAACTCCTGGTGGGGGAGTCCTTAGGAGAGCTCTTTCCCGAGGGTGAGAGCAGAAGGTGCCTGCAGCCCTCTCCCTGAGCCCTGTGAGCATTTCTGATGTCCTTGCGGGCAGAGGCTCTGCGGGAAGGTTTTGTGGAACCGAGATGACATGGAGGGGGGAGGGGGGGCAGGGTGGGGGGGGATAAAGGCTTCCCTGCAAGCCTTAAGCAATGACTAGCGCCCCCGATGCAATCCTGTCCCTTGGCTTCCTGTGAGTCTGTAAAGGAAACACAGCTCCCAGGGAACATATTTTTAACTTTTCCTTCCAGGACGCCAAAGAACAGAGCAGCCAGATGGGTCATTCTAGAAACCTTGGGAGTAAAATCTCTTGCCCAGAGTGACCCTCCTGGCACCTCTCTGAACCTGTCTCCTCATTTGTAACATTGATAACATTGATAACATTATTCTTGTGGTGCCCTTTGCAAGCAGGGGAGAGTGGAAGTGGGCGAACACTCTGGGCACGGTCAGCCCTGGACAGTGAGTTGGTCTGCGCCCACATCCTCCATGCTTCCGTCTCATGCAGGCCTTGCTGCCTATGGAACTGGCCATGGAATCTGGTCTCTAAAGATATACTTGAGCAGAGGACAAGGCGGATGGGTGAACCCACCTGATTGGGCCTGGTGGACTTCTCCCACCATCTATCACCCTGAGGCCTGGCTCCTGAGGCTTCTTAAGGGTCAGGGAAGTAGAAGATGAAAAGAAGGACAAGCTTCTTCATGTGCTGGCACAAGGGCTGCCCTGGCCGGGGCCAGGGGATGCTTGGATTGCAGGTCTGATGTGTGCTTGTGTGTCTCTGTGTGGTCCTGCCCTCTCTGCCTTTGGGGCCCCCTTGCACCCTGAGTGTGACCCTTTCCCTGCATCCTCACCAATTCGCCATTCCCATCACCTGTGGATGGGACAGTCAGGAGTCTGGGACCTTGTGAGAACAGCTGCGACCTTGGGGCTCCGTTTCTCCTCTGTCATCCAAGGGAGACTGAACCAGGGAGAGCTAAGCACCCCTCTAATTTGCATAGTCTAGGATTCTCCTGGCCCACCTCGCCCCCATCCCAGATCTGCATCTGCACTTAACATCCCCTGCTATCCCCTCCCAGCGAATACTTGGCAAGGGTAGAGGAAGGGGGCTCCAGACTCTGCCTAGAGGCCCTGCCCTGCGCCCCACAGAACTGCCCACTTCCCTACTCCAATACTCCCTGACTCCATTCAGGACTGTCCCACGTGGGGAAAGGAGCCCTGGGTGAGTGGTCCCTTGGGCAGCCCAGGGTATTCAGGCCATGGGAATAGACCACAGGTCCTGGGGAGCATGTCAGATCTGAAGCAAAACAAGCCTGTTTCCCAGATGCTGCCCAGGGACCTGCATCTGTAAGGTGGCCGAGAGCCAGGATTCATGTCATGTCCCCAGAGCTGTTTTCTTTCCAGCTGGGAGCCAATTGGCAGCTGAAACATCTCAGGGGTTCTGAGAACAATTTCCTTTCAGGAAGATGGCTGTAGACCAAAAGAACAGGGGCCTACAACTCTTCTAAGCCCAGAAGCCCAGAACCGGAGGACCTACTCCTAGAATATTCCAATCACACTAGGTTCTAGAGCCTCCTCCCCCTGAAATGGCAGTAGCTAGAACCTCCCACAGCAGAGCATCAGGGCTCCGGTGTCTACACCCTCCATAACAATACTGATCAGAATGGCTCCCTGAAGATATTTTACCAGTGGAGTGTTCTAGAACTTAATCTAGAACCAAGCATATTTCTAGAGCAATTCCTCTGCTAAATGTGCTAGAACTCATCTATAATTGAGCCCAGACAGCCTCCTAGATATTTATCTGCTGTGTCCTTGTCTAGACAAAATGTTCCAGATGCTCATCTAGAACAAACACTGACTCCGGGAAACTTTTCGGCGGAGATGTCTGGACCCTCATCTGTAACAGCCAACGACATAGGCTATCTCAGGGCTCACTCGTCTCTGTGCTGTGGATCACAGGTTCCCTTCCCCCAGCTCTTCCACCTCTTCATGCTTCTGTCAGCCTGGACCCTTCAGAGTTCCTTTTCCTGTCCAAATCCAGCATTACCAGCCTCCCACCCCAAAACCCCACCCCCACTCCCTCCTTCAATTATCCTCTTGCCCTGGCTCCAAGTCTCAGGTCCCACAGGAACTGTGCCCACCCTGTCTACAAGATGCTCCAACCTCACCCCACACCTTCCACAGCCTCCTCCCCGCTCCTCAGAGATTTGCACAGAAACAGTCCACTCCCACACTCCCCGAGGAGCACAAGGTCCAGGTCAGGGACGCCGGACAGTGTCCTTTCTCGGTCAGGTCCACCAGGGGTGATGTGGGCAATACCAGACAGTAGAGAGGTGTGGGGACCCCTGCACCAGACACGGTATGGAGGCCCCATGAAAACAGGGCAGCGCATGAGGAGAGTAGCACCAGTTGGTTCCCTGGGCCCTGGTTCAGGGGAATTTAGGAAATGGGCCACAAGGCTGAAAATGGGGCCTAGGGCTGGGGCCTCTACAAGGCTGCCCCCTCCCTGAAGGAACCCAACAGGGGGCCCACTACCCTTGGACCAACAGATCCACTTCTCCTTAGCCTGGTGGCCCTGGAATTCCAGGCTCAACACTGTGGCTGATGTGGGATCACAAGCCCGTCCCTTCTGCAGGGAGACCATGGCCTATACCGTGGTCTCATACTCCAGTAGCTCCTGGGAGGTCCCCACGCTCCGGTACTGCAAACGGGGTGTGGCAGGCGAGGCATACTCCAGAGCCAGAATGGTCTTCCGGAGCCGGCGGTCAATAAAATGAGCATCCCACGCTGGATACTTCTTACGTGGCAAGTCAATCCGAATGACAGGCCCCTCTGTCCGCAAGGTGCGGGCCACTGGTGTGGGAGGCAAGCCCGGCCGCACCTGGAAGACAGGTGGCGTGGGAGTCCCCGCACGCTCACCCCCTACTGAGGCCCCATCTCGCTCAGTGCCTGTAGTCCTCGGCAGGGACCTCGGGGGACTTGTGATCGCATCAGCTGGTGGGCCACAGGGCTCTGAGGCCTCAGAGAAGATGCAGCCTGGTGCCTGGGGACCCAGCATGGGCCCATTTGGGTGCAGGAGACAGTAGTAGACACACATGAAGAATATGCCCAGCGCAAAGCTGGAGGCCACCACGCAGACCAGGATGAGCGAGCAGAAGTCGGTGGAGAAGTTGCGGCTGGAGTACCAGAAGCCGGTGAGCGCCGCGTTCTCCAGCAGGACGATGCAGTAGTAGAGGCTCATGCGGCGGCGGCTGCGGCCCTCCTTGACGTTGAACCAGCAGAAGATGTAGATGATGCCCACCACCATGTTGTAGATGATCTCCTCCCACTTGGACATGCAGAAGTCCGTCTCCCCCTGGATGACCCAGAAGGTCATGACGCACCAGTGGGCCACAATGAAGATGCCGAAGTAGAGCTTGTAGACGCTGGCGAAGAGCGCGAAGGCCAGACTGCGGGCCGCAATGGTGAACAGGTGCCACAGCACCTGGGCCACCGCACCCTTGTAGGACAGAGGTCGCTTGTCATCTCGTGAGTCCCGCAGCACCTTCTGGTAGGAGGCCAGCGTCCAGGCCAGAGACACGAGGGAGGCAGAGGTGGACAGGGCTGTGGAGACAGGGTGGGGGTGGGGTGGGCTGGGTTAGGGGTGGGTCTGGGTTGGGGTCTGGGGAGATGGGGAGGGTTCTGGGTCAGGAGCTGGGTTCTGAGGAGGTGTGAGGGAAGGGTCTGGATAGGGCTCTTTGAGAACAATGATGAGTGGGTGAGGGTGGGTGGGGTTGGGAGTATAAAGGGGGATGGGAGATGGGTGGTTTGGTCTCCAGAGGGTCGAGTTTAGAACTCTAGTACAGGCCGTTAGAGTTCAGGAGTCTCAGTGAGGGTGGAAACTGGGACTCTGGGAGTGGAAGAGGAGGTGAAGAAGGGGCTCATGAGTAGGAGGAACCAGGAGGGGGCCATTAGACGACCTGGGCCCTGACTAAGGCCAGGACGAGGCTGGGTGTGGGCAGGGCTAGCTCGGGCTGAGCAGAGCCCATGGGAAGAGTTGTGGTCAGGGCCCAGGATCCTGGGCAATGGCTCTCCAGGAGCCTGAGGGTGGTGATAGTCCTCAGGGCACCGAGGATGCATTGGACAGTCAGAATGGGGACAGCAGGAGACACTCCAAGAGACCGGGAAAGCGGTTTGTCTCTGCCATTGAGGGGGCCGGCTTGGTCAATCAGAAAAATGGAAGAGGTGAAGTGGGGGTGAACAGGGACTAGTGGGGAGGAGATGGGGATCAAGACTAGTTTGGGGGAAACAGCAGTTAGCATAATGGCTATGTTGCTGGATTCCCATGTAGTCGACTGTGGTTCGTGTCCCGGACCCGGTGGCTTAGAACTCACACCAGGCGTGTGTGCGTGCGTGCCCAAGATCCCGAGAGGAGAATGGAGGAGAAGGGATTGCGGCGTGGCCATCCCCCCTGGGGGGTGATTTCTCGCTTTCTGTCTCTATGTCTCTGTCTGTCTGGCGAGCGCACGCGCCCTATAGCAAAAATCTCTCTCTCAAAAAAAACAAAAGACTAGTTTGGGAGAGGTCCCAGGGGTCTGATGAGCAGCGAGGGGGCAGATGGACAAGTGCCCAGAAACCGACGGTGACCGAGCAGGTCTCTGAGGCAGGACGTCCCCAGAAGATGCAGGCTAGGTTAGGACATTCTAGGGAATGAAGGACCCAAGGGATTCCCTGGAGGGTCTGAGACGTGCTGATGGGGTGAAGGGCCTCTTTAAACTTGGCAGAAATGGGATCTGGGCTGCCCTGGCAATGAGGAAGGGGAGGAAAAGGATTAGAGGAGAGAGCTGGGGGAGTGGGGGTGGCACTAAGGAAGCTACAGTGTCAATGGAGGAGAAACATCTCTGTGGAGATTTCAGGTAGGCCGTTCCCTATGTGAAGGGTCTTCCAAAATTTTGTAAAATGCATGCTACAAAAAAATTTGCACAGATTTTCCATCTTTTTACACCAACATAAACTCATATTTTATTCTATTTTTTTTTTTCACGAGCTTTTAAAAGTCCCTTTCTACAGGGGTGGAGCTCAGCATGGAGTTCAGGGCTGGACTGAAAACCATGAGATGGAATTGAGGAATTCACTGACTTTGAATGCTGCAACCCCAGGCTCCTCCCCTGGAGCACCCTCTGCTACACGTTACCTCAGGGCATATTCCCCCACAGTAACTCTTGTGATCTGTGTCCACGTCTTCCCCCACACCACAGGGCTGGGGCTGCATGGCTTCTTCACCCAACCGCATGCCCTAATGCTGCCCAGTCAGTAGTAACTCCTTCCTGGGCTAATACATAAACCCACTGAGGGAGGACATTATGCTAGGGCCATGGTAACCAGGACTGTGCTAACAAGCTCCCCTCCTGTCCAACCGTCCACCTTTTACACAAAAGAGGGACGGGATGCAGCTGGAACTGATTCCCCCCTTCAGAATTTGGGTCTTTCTGAAACAGGAGGCCACAGCCAGATGACAGAATACTGAAACTGCAGGGGCACATGCGCTTTATAGAATCTTAAATCATCATTCTTTGGCCTAATTTTCCACTCAAGAACACAGATGGGTAAGATTTTTTTTTTCAATTTGCATAAAGACAAAATAGAAGTCTACCCCAAAGTGACCACCTCATAGTACCAAGCACAAAGTAAAGAGACAGGGGGGAGGCAGAGGTGGACAGGGCTGTGGAGACAGGGTGGGGGTGGGGTGGTCTGGGTTAGGGGTGGGTCTGGGTTGGGGTCTGGGGAGATGGGGAGGGTTCTGGGTCAGGAGCTGGGTTCTGAGGAGGTGTGAGGGAAGGGTCTGGATAGGGCTCTTTGAGAACAATGATGAGTGGGTGAGGGTGGGTGGGGTTGGGAGTATAAAGGGGGATGGGAGATGGGTGGTTTGGTCTCCAGAGGGTCGAGTTTAGAACTCTAGTACAGGCCGTTAGAGTTCAGGAGTCTCAGTGAGGGTGGAAACTGGGACTCTGGGAGTGGAAGAGGAGGTGAAGAAGGGGCTCATGAGTAGGAGGAACCAGGAGGGGGCCATTAGACGACCTGGGCCCTGACTAAGGCCAGGACGAGGCTGGGTGTGGGCAGGGCTAGCTCGGGCTGAGCAGAGCCCATGGGAAGAGTTGTGGTCAGGGCCCAGGATCCTGGGCAATGGCTCTCCAGGAGCCTGAGGGTGGTGATAGTCCTCAGGGCACCGAGGGTGCATTGGACAGTCAGAATGGGGACAGCAGGAGACACTCCAAGAGACCGGGAAAGCGGTTTGTCTCTGCCATTGAGGGGGCCGGCTTGGTCAATCAGAAAAATGGAAGAGGTGAAGTGGGGGTGAACAGGGACTAGTGGGGAGGAGATGGGGATCAAGACTAGTTTGGGGGAAACAGCAGTTAGCATAATGGCTATGTTGCTGGATTCCCATGTAGTCGACTGTGGTTCGTGTCCCGGACCCGGTGGCTTAGAACTCACACCAGGCGTGTGTGCGTGCGTGCCCAAGATCCCGAGAGGAGAATGGAGGAGAAGGGATTGCGGCGTGGCCATCCCCCCGGGGGGTGATTTCTCGCTTTCTGTCTCTATGTCTCTGTCTGTCTGGCGAGCGCACGCGCCCTATAGCAAAAATCTCTCTCTCAAAAAAAACAAAAGACTAGTTTGGGAGAGGTCCCAGGGGTCTGATGAGCAGCGAGGGGGCAGATGGACAAGTGCCCAGAAACCGACGGTGACCGAGCAGGTCTCTGAGGCAGGACGTCCCCAGAAGATGCAGGCTAGGTTAGGACATTCTAGGGAATGAAGGACCCAAGGGATTCCCTGGAGGGTCTGAGACGTGCTGATGGGGTGAAGGGCCTCTTTAAACTTGGCAGAAATGGGATCTGGGCTGCCCTGGCAATGAGGAAGGGGAGGAAAAGGATTAGAGGAGAGAGCTGGGGGAGTGGGGGTGGCACTGGCCGGGGGACACCCTCAGGTGAAGGGGTGAACCCCGTTATCTCCTAACGTTGCAGTTGCTGGGCCCTCTGAGAAGCCCTGAGAATCTCGAGAGGCCTGGAGGGTGGCGAGGGCAGAGGGGACGGGCCTCCCTAAACCTTCACTGAGTGGGCGCCAAGGATGTGAACCGAGCATCCCCAGCGGGCAGGAGCTGAGAGCACCGACAGGCGGGGCGGGCCCTGGGGCAGGAAGCGCAGGGCGGGGCTCACCGGGCAGCAGGTCGGGATCACACCCGCGGTGCACCAGCAGGCTGAGCTGCAACACCAGCTGCGGCGCGCTGCGCAGGAAGGTCTCCAGCAGGCGCAGCATGCTCACGTCGGCGCTCTCGAACAGCATCCGCCAGTAGAAGTGGCGCCCCAGCCGCTCCCCGCGCCAGCGGCTCTGCAGCCCCAGGTACAGGGCGCGCAGGTACCTGTGGGAGGGACTCGCTGCTCAGAATCCCGCGCGCGCGATCTGCTCTCCCCACGCCCCCCACACACACACACCCCCACTGAGCCACGCAGCAAGCGCAGGGGGTTAGGCTTGAGAAATGGGCATATTAACGGTAGCCTCACGGGGCTGTAGGGGAGCATTGAACGGGCTCATTAGCTTACAGCACTGGCACGAAGTAAGTCTTAATGCGGCCTTAGCTCCGTCGCTGTCCTGTCACAGCTTGCGGCCTGTGCAGGGTTCTTTGCAGGGGTGCCGACATCTTAGAGAGCCTTGAGTTTGTATAGTTCTAGTATATAGATGAGGAAACTGACACCCGGAGAGGTCTGTCATTTATCCAAGGTCACACAGCTAGGAAGCAGTGGAACTAGGGTTCAAACCCAGGCAGTATGACCAGGGGGCCTACACTCTAACCGTTAGGCAACACTGACTCTTATTGCAAGCCTTAAAGAGTTTTGCCGGGTAGGTTCCTTCAGGGACAGTCATCGATGCCAGCCTCCGTTCTGTTGCCACCAGCAGCTTCCTGGCCTGTTCCCTGACCTCACTTCCAGTGCCCAGTTCTCACCCCAGGGCGAGCGGAAGCTGCTCATAAGCATCTCCCCCTGGCATCCCACACCTTGCTCCTTCCTTCTCCTGACAGACGTCAGTCATGGCTCCAGCTACTCTGCACAGGTCCCGTGTTCCGGAGTTCCTAAAGTTCTCCCTCACCGCCAAGCTTCTGTACCTTCTGTTCCCCGCTGCTGGGAACACCTTGCCCCACCCTTCAATCCCACCCCCCCCGCCCCAATCTTGTTTTTCTTCCAAGGTTCAGCATTTAGACATGCCTTCATCCAGGGAGCTTCCAGTGACCACCGCCTACCTGGGGTGGGGACCTCTCCCAGGTTTCCACCTAACCCAGCACTTGTCCCAGCGGGTTGTAACTGCCTGGTTTGCACGAATCTCCCCTTGATGGTTAGCTCTGTGAGAATGATCGGATCAGTTTGCTAACAGTTACACCCTCAGTTCTTAGCTGATGGGGGCTGAAGGAATGAGTGTGTGCACGATTGCATGTCTATTCAATTGGATCTCACATGGCTGCATGTGCATTTTGATTCCGGGACCCGGTGGCTTGAGAAACATGCCTGGCATGTGTGACCAAAATTCCACAAGGAAAATGGAGGAGAAGGAATTGCAGCGGGGATCCTCTTCTTACGTTTTCTCTCCCTCTCCCTCCCCCTGCACACATGCCCTATAGCAATTTTTTTTTTTTTAAAAGCATGAGTTGGCATTTGATGGCACGCAGAGATGGGAGAGCGTTCCAAGCAGAAGAACCAGTTCATGGAAAGGCACAGAGACATGAGGGAACATGACTTCCAGGGGATGTGCCAGCCCGGACAGGAGGGCAGGGGCATAAGAAGACTAGAATTGTGAAGGGTATCAAACTTTAGACTGAAGAGCTCAGGTTTAGTCTAAATCTGAATTCTATCCCAGAAACAGGGGTGGTGTGATCAGCTCAGTAGCTTAGAAATCTCGCTCTGGAGGAAGGCCAGGAGAGGCTGGGGTTTGGTCCAGGCCTGAAGTGACAAGGCTGAGTTATGGCAGGGGACAGATGAGGGGTAAAGAGCAGAACTGGAGGTGGTGGGGTGGGGGGCTAGAGGAGAGATTCAAATGCCCCCCAGGGTTCCTGGGGGGCGCAGAACACAGGCTGCCTTTCCCTGCCTCCATCTCTCCCCACGCCACTCCCTGCCCGTTCCTGCAGCTCCGGCTTTGAACAGGAAGAGGAGACCAGCTGGTCCTACGAGAAGGGGCCTGGGGAGTTGGGGGAGGGCAACACCCTGGAAGTTTCTCTCAGGCTGGAAGACCATCTGTTTCCGGCCTGGGTCAGCATGAAGGAGGCCCCGGCCCCCAGCCAGCATCCATCACCACCTGACAGGTCACCTGCCGGCCTCCCCGCCCATTCCTGCCCCCTCCTTTGCCAGCTCCCAGCTACCAGCAGACAAAGGGCTTCCACAGCCCAGGGCGGCTGCGTGCAGGGGCAGGAATGGAAGAGAGGAGAAAGGAGGTCTCTGAGTCCCAGGAACATGGGGGTTAGCGAGGAGTGTGGGAAGACCACACTGCAATCTGGGATGAAAGACCTAGGTTCTTCCTCGTTCTGCCCCTGTTGGCAACGGGACCAAAACTGCGGCTGGTCCTTCCAGCCAGCATTAAATGCTCACTGCCAAGGGCCTGCGAGGTTTTCATGGGCCTAGGAAAATGTTTGAGGACTGAAAAAAAAAAAATTGGCTTTAAATCACAGGGGGAAACTGCAAAATCAAAATTAATAAATGTTTAATTAAATGTCTGCAAAACAGAACATGATGTCAGCCAGTCAGCTGCAATTTGGCTTTAATCTGGCTTTCTATAATTTACACTGATGTTTAGTGTGGCTGCATTTTAACACGTGTGATAGATGTGGAGCCCACAAAGGTCTTAAAACAGTCCTGCCTGGGACGTGCAACCCAATTTCTCTGGACCTCAGTTTTCTGTTCTCTAAAATGGGACTGGTGCTTGCCATCCTGCCTATGGTCCAGCCATGGGTGCGAGGATCAGAAATGCAAGATGGCAAAATGCTGGGCTTCTGGATTTGCATCTCAGCCCTCCCCTGGATCTGCTGTGTGGCCTTGGGTGGTCTCTCTGCCTCTCTGAGCTTCATTTCCTTCCTTCCTTTTTTTTCTTTTTTTCCTGTCTTTTGTTTTATTTTTTTAATTTTTTAAATTTTTACCACATGATACATGTGCTTGCTGGAGAGCGAGAGAGAGAACCGTCCATGCGGAAGGTCATGTCACATCCCCTCTCCTCCATTTCTCTTTCCTTTTCAAGATGTTGGGCACATATGCACATGTGCCTGGCGTGTTCCTCCGGCTGTTGGTCTGAGACTTGAACTGTGCAGTCATGTGGATCTAGTCCTTAACCACCAGGCTGGCCCTGTTTTTGTCCTTGTTGTAAACATGAAATGATCAATTTGAAACAAATCTATAAACTGTAGAGGAGCGTGCACCTAGACAGGGAGTGTTTTCCGGGTGGAGACCTCTGGCTCCTCCTGACTACCAAGCAGCCTCTTCGGAAACTTCTAAGAAGCCTCGCCTGACTCACATCCCACTCTGTTTGAAAGGAAATTGATCTTCACTATAAACAGAACTGAGACCATCACAGAGAAGGACGCCCCATCTCAGGGACAGGAATCAAGCCTACGTGGGGGAGGGGTGGGGCGTACATCTGTTTCTCTCCAAAGTGCAACCCCAGTCAGTCCGTCTCTCCATTGCCACCACCTGGCACAGGCCACTGTCGTCTCTTGCCTCGACAACTGTGTCCGCCTTCTCTGCGGGCTCCCAACATCCACTCCTGCCCTTCTACAGGCCATTCTCCACATGGCGACCAGCGGGAGATTTTTCAAACCCGTCAGATCATGTCATTCCCCTTTGCAAAACCTTCCAGCGGCCTCCCATCACACTTGGAATAAAACCCAGGCTCCTTCCCTCTGCTCGCAGGCCCTACGCCATCTGGCCCTGCCTGTTTCTCTCACTTCATCTCTAACCACTGTCCCATTTGTTTCTGACACTCCAGAGGGCACTGGAGGTTCCTCGAACTCAGTCAAACGTGTTTGCAGTAGTGCCGGATCTTCGCACTTGCTTCTTGGGATGGCCCTTCCTAGATCCCGCTAGAGTGGCTCCTCTCCAGCTCGTAGTCACCTTTCTAGAGAGGCCCCAGGCAACCGCCTCACCCTGGCACCTCCACCCTCACTGACTCACTCTGGTCTGTCACATCACCCTATCTCATTGTTTTCTGAACATGCATCATGAACTACCCTTAATTATTTACGTATTTATTTTCTATTCTACCACTGAAGCTCCACGGATGTTGGGACCTTGTCTATCTTGGTCACTACTGTGGTACCCCAGCATCGGTACATGTAGTAGGTGCTCAATTGATATTTGAATGAGGGGCCGACAGGTGGCGTGGTGATTAAGAGCGCTGGATTCCCACATGGCCGACTGTGGTTCAAGTCCCAGACCTGGCGGCTTGCTTTCTCACTTTCCCTCTCTCTCTCACTCTGTCCCTCTCTGGTCAAATTAAAATAAATAAATAAAGTTAAATAAAATAATTCTCTAAAAAATATCTATTTGTTGAACGAATAAATGTGAGCATGTGTGTGTTTCTCTCCCGATTTCGGAAGGCCTTTGGCATCTCTGCTTGAGTTCAGAGAGCCAGGACACCTTGTAGGCTCTTCCTGTCCTCTCGGACTCATTTTTGTCCTTCCTCCTCCAGGATGCCTTCCCTGATGCCCCTCCAACCTGGTTAGGCCTTCCCTCCTCTACCAGCTCCTGGACTTAAATTACCTGAGGCCTGATGCGGGCCAGACACTGTGATCAGTGCTGCTAACCTAACGGGCAACTTCTGCTGCCCCCATTTTACAGATGAGGAAACAAAGGTACAAAGAGGTCCATTCTGGATCTAATTCACTGCCTCCTAGTCTTGTGCTCAGAGAAGAAGCTTGTCTAGGAAGAAACTGGAGGAGCAGAGAGTGAATATTGTTGGGGACTGGTGTAGGAGAAAAACAGCCAGACCTAGAAAGGCCGAGGGAAGCCGGCAGTGAGGGTGTGGAGTCCCTTTCTTCGAGGATCCAAAAAGTTATCTCCCCAGGAACCCATTGCTCCACGATCAAGCAGCAAGGTCTAGAAATGGCCAGGCAGGCATTCCCTCCTCCTGAGGCCTGTGACCCAGGGACCCTCCAGCATACCCAGAGCTTGGGCATTCCTCCCCAGTGGGTAGAAGGAAGTGAGAAGGAGGGGGATCCCATGTCCCTGAGAAGCCAGGAAGCTTCTGGGCTCAGCTTCCGGTTCACTCTGTCTCTCTCCTACTCTGTCGCTGGGTCGCCCCGCGTCTCTGGTACCGGTCAAGGTTTCTGGCCTGGACTTCAGTCTCCATTTGGACGGTCACACCTGGGTCAGAGCCTGGCCCCATCCC